CCTCGCTCACGCGCTTCCTCTGCTGCACGTTGGTGGAAGGGGCTCCCCCGAGGCGTGCCCGTGTTGGAACATTTCTTTTTGTAAAGCTGACTGTGGACAATAAACGTGATGTTTTCTGTTTGAGCCTCCCGTGGGGCGCGAGGTTGCTGTGGGGGCGGAGGGCAGCGGGTGGCCCCAGCTGAGAGCTCCTTCCCCAGGAGGCTCGGGGGGGCATCTCTGCAGGGAGACAGCCAGGCCTGTAGCTGGCTCTACAGAAATATCACCTCAAGGGTCTTGGATGTCATCCCTCCGGGTGGGACAGGGGAGGTGGCACAGTTTGGGGACCTCTCTTCTACCCCGCTGTGGAGCAGCATGGGGTACGGGCTGCTTCTGGGGGGGTGGAGGAGGAATGAGGAACCCCCCATCCTGACAATGGGGAAGGAGAAACTCAGTGGGATATCACAGCCTCCAGATCAGATGGCCAGGAGCTCACATCAGGTATAAACCTAATTAAGTACTAGTAACGAGTTCCTGACCCATCTAGGCACAAGCTGGTTCACCGTTGGCATGGGCCTTGGAGATGCCTGTTCTAGAGTGACCCGTGGCCACATCTGCACAGTGTTTATACCCCTCAGGGGGTCCTAGGAAAGGCACAACCTCACCAATATTTGGGGAAAACAGAGCATAAAGCCAGAGGACTCAGGTTTTCCCCAGGGCCCCACCACAGCTGGTGTGCCAGTGGAGTCTCCTCGCTGAGAACCATCCCCCTAACTCCCCCTCCTCCTTCTGGAGGGTATTTAATGCCATAAAACAAAGTCTGGGGCTCTCCCCTTCAGCCTTTTGGCGCATCTCAAAGCTGAGTGGGGTTTTCTTTTGAAGAAAAATATAGCTCTGAGTACATACTTCAGCTGAAGGACATGCTCAAGGGCTTTGCTGAGCTGGAGGCTCACCCTCACATCACTTACAAGTGACTTCTTGTGTGGCCAAGTAACAGCAGCATAATTAGGAAGGACAGGGATTTTTAGAGGAGGAAATACCCAAAACCATTGCTGAGGTCACAGACTTAGGAGTAGGTGAAATGGGGGGGGACAACTGGTGCAGAAGACCCTCAGAGGTTCCCAGCCCGTTGGGCAGACCAGGGTGGGTGCAGGAAAACTTGGTATCCCTTACCCAGACACTTTAAAAACTTAGGGCAAACACCTCTGCCGGAGGCTTTTTGGGAACTGGAGGCATTGCAGAGAGATCAGAAACGGGTCCGGAGACAGAAAATGATGAGTAGGAATAAATATTTGATTTCCATCCTGCCCTGGAAGCAGCAGCTGCTTCTCACCCATCTGGGGAGCAGGAAAGCAAGACAGAACCATTAATTCTTTTGGTAAGCTGAGCCCTGGGAGAGCTGCAAACCTGTGACAGGGCTTAAAAGGTAGAAGGGCCAACAAATCAATGGCGTTGCTGGCTAGAAGGAGTAATTACAGTGACTTCCACAAGCAGCTTGCTTCTAAACGAAGCAGGAGCACTCAGGAGATGCCCTGCATCCCTCCAGGGGCAGCTGGCTGGAAAACAGTATGTGGTGCTCAGAAGAGGAGCAACAAAGTCATCCTGAGGGAGAGGTAAAGGAGGAAAGCTTTAACAATGACGTGGAGAAGGTTTTGCACACTGTGTTGTGTCCAGAGACTAAAAATTGTGGGAGAAAGCAATGGGGGGAGCCCCAGAGGTGGGCAGAACAGGGGCAGGGGCACAAGAGGAGATGGTGGGGGAGGTGGGATGGGTACCACCTCCATGCTCTCCTCCATCTCCCCACCAAGGGGCTGGTAACGTGCTTCAAGGAGAGGAAAAGGACTGGACAGCCCTGGGGCCCTTGTTTCAGGGAGGGATTTGGGGAGCTCCCGTGCTCCCCAACACCCAGAGCCTCAGCTTTGGGCTTGCAGGTTGCAGCTTCATTGCCAGCCTCCCAGTCCCCTCAAACGAGGTCAAGCCAGTCCATAATTCACCCCCAGGAGGTGACACCTCTGAAGACCTTAGCAACAGGGGGCTGCCTTAATTGCCTCTGTGCACCTCTCCATCCTGCCAGGAGCCTCCTCTGCTCCCTCCCAGAGCCTGGAAGGGTCATTGAACACTCCCAGGAGGAGCACACCGTGCTCCCAGAGCATCTGGCACAGGAATGGTCCCCCCGTGGCTGCTGTGCCCACAGGGAGGAGGAGGAGGTCCCAAAAGCTGGCCAGAAACAGCCAAGAGAAGAGTCTGTGGGTGCCCTGCCCCTGGTGAAGTCAGCCTGAAGCTGTGTGTCCTCCCATCAATGGAGATGGCTGAAGCAAGCGTGGGGCAGTTTGTCTGTTAAATACATACCCAAATATTTTGTGTCAGCAGTTCCACTCCTGTTTCTCAGCTGAGGAGCAGAGCACAATCTGATGTCAGGCAGCTAGCAGCACTTCTGGAAAACTAAAGAGCAGTATGGAAGCTAAGATGGCCAAGCTGTCTGCCTGCTGTGCTAGCATGTTAGCAGTGCTGGCTCAACAAAGCCTGGACTGTTGTGTGGTTCTGTAGAGAGGCAGCCTGCAGAAAACCCCAAACCGGAGGTTTCAGACACAATCTGCACCCAGTTTGCTAAGCCACAGCAGGTGGACGCAGGCCAGCAGGATGCTTTCCTTCCTCAGGAGGCATCTCTCCCTTGCAGCCCTGGCTGCGTCACCCACCCCAGTCACAAAACCCACATAACCCCCATCTTCAGGGGCCCTCTGCAGTTTTGGGTTTGGGCATTTTCACCTCGGAGCCACCGAGGAAGAATCCTTACAACCAGTCTCAGCATTTCCTGGAGGAAACACTCCCTGGGGCCACACTGCTCAAAACCAAAGCCTGTTTCATTGAACCCAGATTCACCCAGGCATGTGTGCCTCCCTCCCAAGCAGAGGCGTAGGCACATGAACCCAGCAGACTCGCTGCTTAGTAGCAAAAGTGGGTGAACTACACAGGGATTAAAGCATTAAAAAAAACTACAGTAAGAATACGAGGCTTGAAAGCACAGTGTCCCCAGAGAGATTAGAGTAGCTGCCTGGAGATAAAGTAATGGTGATGGAAAGATCTCCTTCCTCTCGCAGAGATTCTATTCCTAATTATCTCCTCTGGAAATAAAACAAAAAACAAAAAAAACCAAAAAACTAAGATGATCTCCCAGCTTTTATCTGCCTCTTGACAATTTTAGATCTGTGCCCGCCTCGCTGCTTGCCGAAAGGAGGAAGGGGAAGGGACTGGCACCGGAGGTGTGACAGTAGGAGGGTGAGGGGACAGGAGGCAGCGCTTCCTTCTGTCACCCCCACGGTAGAGGGAGAGACACACGGTCCCTGCAGCGTTGTCTTTCTGAGCCCAAAGATGGCTCCACCACCTCCACCTCGGCTTCGTCAGGAGGCCTGAATCGCCACACGATGTCCTGCCTACGGCTGGAGAAGAGGCTGGGGAGGCAAGAGGACTGTCAGGGGCAGGAGGGGCCCGTCTGGTTCCTCCCCCACTCTTAAGCCCATTTCCACTCATCCTATT